AGGTTTCATATAACTAGTTTGTCTAACAATGACAGTTGTTCCTGCTAGGAGTAAAAGATGGTGGGGGGAGGGGCAGAAGGGGGTCGCTTGAAAGAATAAAGTCTGAAAATTCGTCAGGCAATATTTTAACGACTCCATGAGCGTTTACTGCAAAAATTTTGCCGGGTACGAGTTAGTCAAAAATAATTTTATATCTTATCGTTTTGGTTATGGCTACGGCTACGTGAGTAAAAATCTTCTTCCCGCAGAGTCCATAATAAATGTTATTTTTACTAAAAATTACAATATGAAGTTTCATAAATGGGTAATTGTCATAGCTTTGAGACAATATTAATGTGATCCAAAACACGGGAGCAAACAAAACTTTAATAGTTACAAATGCTAAGAACCGTGGCTAATAATCCCGCGGCAATAGCGAGACAAGAATGATTTTATGCAAAACTAGCTTTATTCCTGATTAATTATTTAACTTGAACGGAAGATCTTTGTACGGAAGACCTTTTTAATTATAGATGTCACCAAGAGCTGTCTTTTCAAACATAACTTTATTTTCATAATTCAACAGACACGCTAACGGTGTAGCTGTTTGAGAAGGCTATCTCATAAATAGGTTCTTTCAATTTTCTCGAAGAAATAAAAAAAATTTTGATCCCGTATGAAACCTTTTTTCGTAAGTGTCACATTTGTGCTTCGTGCATCAAGTTTGCTTTGATGGACACTAACACTGTGTTTATTTCTCAACAGTGCTTTTTGGTCTTACTGTGTCTTCTTTGCCAGGTGCAGGCTGGAGAAGGTATTTCAAACTCTTGATGCTGTTCAACTTGATACCTGAACCGCAAGTTACCATTTTTCAGAATATCCCTTACTCCTTAAAATAGGGTTGGATCTAAATTTTATATAATTAAAATTGTCGTGATGGCAATGAAACTGTATGCGTTAAGCTTCCATGCAACTCAACGGGAACGGAGCTTATGTTGTAGAGCATTTTCAAGAATTGATATTTTGAGTGTGTTAGGTTTACCTTTTGTTTTATTGAGTCTTGCCTTTTTGCGTCTACGTTGTTATTTTGGTAGATCTATAGTTTTGATCATTTATTTTTAGTATGTGCTGCAACTTGGTTCAGTTCTTACCGTGCTAGACATTTTAATCGCTTGTTATGGTTGAGGATAACTAGTTCGCTAGGTGGTCATGTTTAGAGTATCGCAAACAAACAAAATGCGCGACGTTTTAAGTGTTTTGCCTTGCTTTTCAATACAAACAGGCAACTGGGACTCAGAAAAAGGTAACCACGGCCACTTAAAAGCAATGACTGCTTAATGAAGGTAAATGTCATTGAGTTGAGCAAAATATTCCCCGTTCCATTCATTTTCCTAGGAAGTTTCAGTCCCAAGACAGAGACATCTGTGACAAGATCTACAAATACACAAACAACACGTACGCCCCCATTGACCATTAAAGGTGAGTTCATAAAAATAATCTGTGGCTTAAATACATACAGACCATTGGGACTCAGGCAAAGGTAACCACGGCCACTTAAAAGAAATGACTGCTTAATGAAGGTGAATGCTAGTGACTTGAGGAAAATATTCTTCATTCCTTTCATTTTCCCAGGAAGTTCCAGTTCCAAGACAGAGACATCTGTGACTACATTGTCAAATACACGAACAACAAGCAGGCCTCCATCAACGATGAAAGGTGAGTTCATGAAAATGATCTGTGGCTTAAATACAAACGGGCCATTGGGACTCAGAAAAAGGTAACCACGGCCACTTAAAAGCAATGACTGCTTAATGAAGGTAAATGTCATTGAGTTGAGCAAAATATTCCCCGTTCCATTCATTTTCCTAGGAAGTTTCAGTCCCAAGACAGAGAAAGCTGTGACAACCTCTACAAATACACGAAAAGCAAGTAGGCCTCCATCAACCATTGAAGGTGAGTTCATAAAAATAATCTGTGTCGTTAAATACAAGCAGGCCATTGGGAGTCAGGAAAAGGTAACCACGGCCACTTAAAAGCAATGACTACTTAATGAATTTAAATATTAGTGACTTGAACAAAATATTCCTTCTCCCTTTCATTTTCCTAGGAAGTTCCAGTCCCAAGACAAAGACATCTGTGACAAAATCTACAAATACACTAACAACAAGTAGGCCTCCATCAACCATTAAAGGTGAGTTCATAAAAATAATCTGAGGCTTAAATACATACGGGCCATTGGGACTCAGGAAAAGGTAACCATGGCCACTTAAAAAACATGACTGCTTAATGAAGGTGAATGCTAATGACTTGAAGAAAAATATTCTTCATTCCTTTCATTTTCCCAGGAAGTTCCAGTTCCAAGACAGAGACATCTGTGACTACATTGTCAAATACACGAACAACAAGCAGGCCTCCATCAACGATGAAAGGTGAGTTCATGAAAATGATCTGTGGCTTAAATACAAACGGGCCATTGGGACTCAGGAAAAGGTAACCACGACAACTTAAAGGAAATGACTGCTCAATGAAGGTGAATGCTATTGACTTGAGGAAAATATTCCTCATTTCTTTCATTTTCCCAGGAAGTTCCAGTCCCAGGACAGAGACATCTGTGACTACATCTACAAATACACGGACAACAGGCAGGCCTGCATCAACTTTTCAAGGTGAGTTAATGAAAAGAACTTGCGGCTCAAATACAAACAGGGCAATGGGACTTATGAGAAGGTAATCTTGGCCACTTATAAGAAGTGACTGCTTAATGAATATGAATGTTGGTTACTTGAAAAAACAATTCTGGAACCGATTGCTTCCCGTACATTGTATGCAAAGTGGTTTAAGAGTGCCTTTTAGTTCTTTCATAGAACTGAATGATTGATGTTTTAAGTTGAAAGTTATCATGGGGGAAACAAAAGTTATACTGATCGTGGATGTATGCGTTTAAGCTAGTCTGAATGGAGTATTGCCAACAAAAGAAATAAGCAAAATTTGCAAAGTTCCAGTACTAAACTATTTTTCAAAAAAATAATTGAAAATGCCGCATTTTTTAAATAACCTATTTAACAAAATTTTCTCTAGCGTAAACAATTTGGGCCACACATCGCTGGCCTCTCATCAACATTTTTTTCATAAACTTTTCACGATATGATACATATGAGCACCTGCTGATATTCTTATCATCCAGAAAAGATATTTTTACTTCTTTTGAACGTGACTTCATTAGAAGAGCGAATTCAATCCCTTTTTATAGTGAAAAGTGCAAAATTGAATGTAGTGGACGCATCTCTGAAATTTCTTAAGAATTGTGCCTATTGTTTAATGGGTGTTATTGTTCAAAGTAAAGGCCCAGCTTGGTGAAAAGAAGTAATTAAGTGCATAGACTACTTCAATAAATTAGCACTTAAACTTCTNATACATACGGGCCATTGGGACTCAGGAAAAGGTAACCATGGCCACTTAAAAAACATGACTGCTTAATGAAGGTGAATGCTAATGACTTGAAGAAAAATATTCTTCATTCCTTTCATTTTCCCAGGAAGTTCCAGTTCCAAGACAGAGACATCTGTGACTACATTGTCAAATACACGAACAACAAGCAGGCCTCCATCAACGATGAAAGGTGAGTTCATGAAAATGATCTGTGGCTTAAATACAAACGGGCCATTGGGACTCAGGAAAAGGTAACCACGACAACTTAAAGGAAATGACTGCTCAATGAAGGTGAATGCTATTGACTTGAGGAAAATATTCCTCATTTCTTTCATTTTCCCAGGAAGTTCCAGTCCCAGGACAGAGACATCTGTGACTACATCTACAAATACACGGACAACAGGCAGGCCTGCATCAACTTTTCAAGGTGAGTTAATGAAAAGAACTTGCGGCTCAAATACAAACAGGGCAATGGGACTTATGAGAAGGTAATCTTGGCCACTTATAAGAAGTGACTGCTTAATGAATATGAATGTTGGTTACTTGAAAAAACAATTCTGGAACCGATTGCTTCCCGTACATTGTATGCAAAGTGGTTTAAGAGTGCCTTTTAGTTCTTTCATAGAACTGAATGATTGATGTTTTAAGTTGAAAGTTATCATGGGGGAAACAAAAGTTATACTGATCGTGGATGTATGCGTTTAAGCTAGTCTGAATGGAGTATTGCCAACAAAAGAAATAAGTAAAATTTGCAAAGTTCCAGTACTAAACTATTTTTCAAAAAAATAATTGAAAATGCCGCATTTTTTAAATAACCTATTTAACAAAATTTTCTCTAGCGTAAACAATTTGGGCCACACATCGCTGGCCTCTCATCAACATTTTTTTCATAAACTTTTCACGATATGATACATATGAGCACCTGCTCATATTCTTATCATCCAGAAAAGATATTTTTACTTCTTTTGAACGTGACTTCATTAGAAGAGCGAATTCAATCCCTTTTTATAGTGAAAAGTGCAAAATTGAATGTAGTGGACGCATCTCTGAAATTTCTTAAGAATTGTGCCTATTGTTTAATGGGTGTTATTGTTCAAAGTAAAGGCCCAGCTTGGTGAAAAGAAGTAATTAAGTGCATAGACTACTTCAATAAATTAGCACTTAAACTTCTACTGAAAAAAAAATTTCCCTAACGCTGCAAAGCTGAGAAACTCTGATATTGTTCATTAAGAGAATTAACTATATGAAAAGCAGCGGAGCTTTCAGAGTCAATTATACTTTTCACTGAGTTAATACCTCAAATCGCAATTATTCTACTTTAACACTGCCATTACCTGAATTTATCAGATCTAAAAATATATACCAGACCATAATGTTGTTCGCTCATACTTCGTTTGCCAAATTTAACAAATAAAAATAATTATTACACGACTCGGGCAGTCAATAACTAAAATCAATCAATGAAAATGCTCTATTGCCGGTCAATATTCTCTCAGTATTGGACCAGGCACTGTCCCGAATGGTCCCGAATGATAGCGCACTTGTGTCCCTTTGAACTTCAGTCGTATAATAAATCTCTTATTGACCAGGCTTGCTCGGGACAGTACTGGAAGAATATCGGCCCTCGGTCTTTTTTGTACGGACCTCCCTGCGCTCGGTCGGTACTGTCAAGACCTCGGGCCTATATTCTCCCAGAACGGCCCTCGCTCTTGGTTAATAAGATATGTACATTGACTGTGCCCTATTCCGTTGTAAAGCATTAAGGAAGCAGTTACAGTATGAAATAGGTGTAGAGGGAAACATGAGACGTATTCTGGAAATGTTCCTTCCTACTATTTGAGTGCGTCAACCGCCTTCGGAGCACAATCAAGGCTTCCTTTTTTTCGTTTTATGGTAAAGAACACGTCAAATTCCTTTTGAATTTCTTTGCATTTTCAAATGAATTGAAAGTTTTCGAAGCGAAGATAAATTTCGTCAGAATGTTTTATAATCTCACGAAGCACACTTAAATAAGCCAATCAGAGTCCTTGTTAAAGTGGTCCGAGCGTTTTGATTGGTTAAGTAAGACCAAAGCTGTTAAAAATGTAAAACCATTATAGTTCACAAAACATCTAAGTTCACGATCTGCAAAAGTTGACAAACTGATATGGTTCCGCAGGTCGAGTTCAACACTTCTTCTTGTGGTGTTAATACAGAATCTGGTACTGAAATGTTCAGCTATAAATCTGGCCCAATTGTGGCTCATTAAAACACGCATGCTTTTTTTAAACAACGGTCAGAAAACAAACTTCTCAAGGTGTGTGCTTCATGAATGAGCGACAGCCGAATTTATAGGAGGATGAAGATTGTTCGGAATGGTCAGCGTCTTAAAAATAAGGGATATCAGAGTAAGCTCTTAGCTGTTCACTCGAAGGGCTATTGATGTAGTTTCTGAGGCTTGCTTCACTTCAACGATCAGAGATCGTCATGATGAGGTAGCTACGATGGCCGAGAGCATAACTGCTCTAAGTCGCTCTGATACCATCATGATTTTATAAATTTTATACATAGTGTTAGTTCTGGTTGAGATTTATTACATTACGACGGTAAGCTCACAATCTAAGCTTGAAAACCTTTAAAATTCGAACAGGTCATTCCACTTTGGTGATTTTTTACTCTTTTCTCTTTTTATTATTCATCCATTTCTCTGGTCCTATCGCTGTTTAACTCTTTTATTTGACGAAAATATTTTTCTGTTTGATCGTCCCTTTTTCGTGTCTTTAAAAAACAATTATACATTGTTGCTCTATTCTCAAAAACCGATTACTAGCAAAGATTAGCGTAATCCGTAGTAGAGCCTCGACTCTTTTGTAGATCCCTGCTCAAAGAATCCTAGCAAGAATGGCTGAACTTGTAACAGCACTTCTGAAGGCTTCGACTGAAGTTGTCGCTGGGAATTCTTTGGGAATGACTGTGGCAAGAAGGATAATGTACAGTTGAGGATTCTATTCCGTAGTCAATCATCGAATGTGCGCTGGAAGTTGTTCATCCATAAATGTTATAGATAGTATCGTAGGTCTGTTTTAATTTCTAATTTTTTTTATTGATTTAACATATTTCACAGAATGTCATAGACCTCTGGGTATGCAGAGCGGTGCAATCGAAGATTGGCAGATAACTTCCCGTCACTCTCGTGACTACAGGTATAAACCCAGTCCTGGGAGAATGCTTCTGGAGACGGCAAGAGGAGGAGGAGACGCTTGGAAACCCTACTGGAGTTATAGAGGCGTATGGTTTCAGGTTTATCTCCATAATAAATATACTTGGGTAACTGGTATAGGAACACAAGGAAGCGTGACAACATACTGGCTGTATTATTGGGGCCGAGGAGGTCGGTGGTACAAGGAAAAAGGACAACGACATGCCAAGGTGAAACAATTGTTATGAGTCGTA